GGGGGGGGGGGGGGGGGGGGGGGGGGGAAGATAGTGGGAGAAGGGCTGGATTCCAGGCTGGTAAAGTGGAAAGTGGTGAGAAAGCAAGAAGAGGGGCAGGATTACGTTGGAACCTGATAGTTGGGCACAGGTGGAGGAGAGAGGTAGACCAGATGAGGTGCGAAGGAAAAACAGGGAAGGATGGGACATGGCAAAAAGAAAGCAGAGAGCTGGGAAAATAAAGGAAAGAACAGTGCAGTGGGATGATGATTGATTAGACATAGAATCAGAAAGAAGGTTAATAGGTGAGCTAATCCAACCTCTTTAACAATGAACAAACAATCAACATGTTTTCTCTTCTTCTAAAAATATCCCAGCCAGGTGGGACAGTCAGAGTCTAAAAAAGAGATTTGTCCAGGAAATTCCAGATACATACTGTAGTAACCCCACCTTAGACCAGAATACTGTAAATAAGAGGGCTGGGTCTTTGTGCACATCACAGCCTTGCTTACAACATAAATAAAGGCAACACTCTAATTTAAGACCCATGCATGTGTCCATTACTGAAATAATTATATGAATGGAGCAAATATATGAAAATACAGGACAATGTTTCTCTGAAGGTACTTCCTACAGCTTGCAGGATGAATCAACAGATAACAACCAAATCAATTCAGACTATAAGGTCAGATTTTGTTCCTAAAATCTCAATGATCAATTTTGCAAAGAAAAACCCACAGAGGAAATATAGATTCAGGAAAAGTGTTTGACAGCATAATCCTTAAACATCTTTGTTTAAGAATTCAGGAGAACTGACTCCATCACAAATGCTAAAGGAATGAAGGCTGAAGCAGGAAGAAAGGATTTTGTGTGTCACAGTAAACGTTACATTAATGGTGTAAGTTTAAACTCCACAGTTATTATTCCCTAGGCTTTTTCTTGACAAAAAGCAGCTATAAGCCCTGAACTAGATTAGGCCTTCAGCTGTGCAATTTTCTTACTGGAAATCTTCCAAACCTGTCATTTATTCCTGGATCTCAAGTTCCATCAGCCCATTTTCCTAATTCCAATACTGATGCACCATTATATTCATGAAATGGGTGGTGGAGTAAATCTAAACACAGCCATTAAATTCAGTGGAGCCAAAGCAGCCTGACTCTTTTTTTGCCTTTCACATTGTCGTGAGAGGAAACCACTGCATATTGAGTTAGATCATTATACCATCTAATCCAATATAATCTACAGTGGTTGGGATTGCAGCAAGCTATACCATGGTTTGTTCAGTTTGGACTTAGCATGTTGCATGAACCCAGCAATTGGGAGTTGTAAATCAGAGTTATGGTACAGAAAGCAAACCATGGTTTAACAGCATATACATCCAGTCCATGCCTGGATTCTTTAGGTGTTTTACTGATCTTATTTTCAGCACTGAAGCTGTAGAGAATCAGGAATATGACCTTGAGGGGAATAAGCAAGGTAAACCACAGTGAGGCTTGTAAGACTGATGTCAGCCCTTCAGGGTAGACTAGATCAGGAAATAGACTCCACTGGAAAAAATAAAAACTTTATTGAGATAGACTATAATAACAACATTTTGCAAATCTGATTGTGCTTTACCTTCCCTGTCTTCCAAATACTGTATCATGTTCCCCAGGACTTAAGAATACTTCTGCCTCCTTTGCTTACTTAATGGTTCTTGCCTATTTTCCTCAAGGTCATCTCCCTGATGCTCTACAGCAGTGTTTCTCAACCTTGGCAGCTTGAAGATGTGTGGACTTCAACTCCCAGAATTCCCCAGCCAGCCATCAATACAGTTTTTACTGTAAACTGCCCAGAGTCACCCTACAGTGAGATGGGCGGTGACAAATTTGAAATATCAATCAATCAACCAATCAATCAATCAATCATGGGTTAAATGGCCTATTCGTAACTATGTCACATTATATGATTGGTGGCTAAATAGTTGTATTTTTTCCCCGAGACAGAATCACAAAAGATTTTAGCAACCTACTCCCTCTGTCCCCCAAATCATATCTGACTGCAGGACGTTATTCAAAAAGTCATAGCACACTCACCTGTAGGAAATACAGAAAGGACTTTGATTAAGAAAACATCCATTACTCCTGGAAGTGTCAACAGGTGAATAATTTCGTGGAGGCTAAAAACACTACTGGACTGGGATGTGCCTAGGAAAAAAAAGATAAAATAGGCTACATCTTGCGGACAAAGGTAGGCATTTGAAAGAAAAAATTATAAAATGTTTCCTAATTATACAGGACAATTATGTGCCAGATAGTGTGATTTTATGGCAGACTGTTCTGAGAATGGGGACATTTTTATTATTGCTTGTAGCTCCACAGGATGCCATGTTTTAGTGGGCTGGGGCTGGGGCTGGAAAGATGAAGCTTCTCCTTTTGGTCTTATAACTCCCTCCAGGCCCCCAATGCCTGTAACTCATTTTAGAAAAAAGAGATGTCAGAATACGCTGTGCTGATTCCCCATTTCTTTCCCTCCAGACAACTTAAGAATTTTGAAAGAAATTGTGGATGTTTGCACAAAACAGGGAGGCTTTTCCATTCATAAAATGGCTACCGCTCACAAATCCTTCCATTTGTTAGAGGGAAAACAAACAGGTTCCAGGTTATCACTGTGTTTTCTTCTGGGTAGGTAGACAGAGTATCAGGCTAAGTACTGTAATGGCCTGTGGCTCCTCCCCTCTTTTTATTTTTAAAGGATGCCAAGGGGATCTGAGACATTCTCAGGAAAATAAATAAAAGGTGATGCTTAAAATTGGCATTCTGTTTTGGGGCAGGCCAATGTCCCATTTAATTTGTCAACTAAAAGCAGTGTTGT